GGTAGACTGGAACCTCCAACCTTCTGGTTAGCAGCCAAGCTGATGAATCATTTGCATCACCTAGGGTGTCCACAGCAGGGGTCGGGAACTACTAATCTAGTCTCTATATGCTGTCCACATAGTTTTCTTTTAAACATGTACCAGCTGGAAATGTCTTCCCCTTGGCCTGCCCTCAAAGTTAAATACTGACAATTTAATGCCAACTAACACCTTGTCCTAACTAAAATGAAATGATTTCATTCACCTTGCTTATAACAGACCCATGAGAGAAAACATGTTAGGGTTCTGTCTACAGTATCTGTTTACTTGGAATCCTAGCCACCAGTGATATATAGTAGCAGTCTAAAGCCAGACACCTTACTGAATCTAAGTTTCTAGTTTAATATAAAGATGCATTTACTCCATGAATATTGTTCATCTGAAGATGTGGAAAATGTTGCAGTTTTACATCCTAAGCACCTGTGGAAATCTTTACTCCAAGAGTTTCCTCATTTGCCCCAAGTGCATGGAGATGAGGCTTATTCCCCTTCTTGAATGTCCTTTAGTCTTACCAGAACTCATAGTGCAAAGCGGTCTAAAGCTGTATTTTAAATTATATAAATGCCTGACTTAGCTGTTTGAGCAGATGAAAACTAATTAATTGATAAAGCCATTAGGCACCTTAGAAATAGCCACTTGAAATCTGCCCTGACTTTTTATTATCCCCATTTACTTAAAAAAAAAAAAAAAGAAAGAAACTGTAAGATTTATGAGTTACAGATACCAAAAGGTTCTCATGTTTTAAATATTTTAGATGGCCCCATCCCATCAATTATTACCATAGCTCAGACATAGAGAAGGTGCAAGTCACTGCCTACAGCATCTTGCTTCCACATGCAAGAAATACGAACTTCAGTGCCCTAAATGCACCGGCCGGAATTTCCATTCTAGTTAATATGGATTTGTTCAACAGCCCAGGATGGGTGAGGGCACTGCAGGAAACTATCAGCTCCCTTGGGAGATCAAACCCAGATCATGTAGGTGAGTGACGGAAGGAGACTCGCCAAGTTGGGAAGGGGCCTTTCTTCTAGACCAGTACTTCTCAAACTCTAATGTTATGTGAGTCACGTGGAGATCTTGGTAAAATGCAGATTCTGATTCATTGGGTCTGGAATGAGACCTATGATTCTGCGTCTCTAAAACGCCCCCGGGAGATGCTGATTTTGTTGTCTAGAAGACACTTCTTTGAGTAGCATGGGTTTAGAATAGTGCTTCTTAAACATGAGACGGCAAAAAAAAAAAAAAACAAAAAATCACGCAGGAGGCTTATTAAAGCACAGACTAGAGACTGATTTCAGAGGTGAGGCCTGAGAATTTGCATTTCTAACAAGTTCCCAGGTGATGCTAATACTGCAGGTCCTTGGACTACACTTTGAGTAGCAAATCTCTCGTTAACTTTTGAGCAGATGGCTTCCACCATCTCTACTAGTAGCCTCCTCTCTGAAAACAAAGAGCCAAACACCACAAGATTAAAGAGGACGCTAAAGAGTTGTCCCCTTGCAGAAAATTATATAGCAAAGGCGAAGAGTGCCACAGGGTCTCCGTTACTTTTTGCTTTGAAAATATGCATCTCTGACTAAAGACTAAACAGGATGCTTCTGGAACAAAATCTAGAGATAAGGAACAAGAACCCCATCCCTAAAGTGGTGCTGACTGATTAATAGTGGGACTAGTTATTTTAGGATGGCAAATCTATAGGTGCATAGGAAAAGCTAGATGCAAATATACACATTTATATCTATATTTATATATAAATAGCAACATGTTCTCAGGGCTGTCTCTTAATATGAAGATGGGATTTGAGGTGATCTTTACTTTTGCTTTATATTTTTTTGCTTTACATTTTTCTATAAAGGGTATTTTAATATTGCTTTTGTATCCTGAAAAAAACTAAAAAATGTTTTTAAAGGGGAAAAAAGTGAAAATATCTATTCAGTGTAAATTCAAATATTTTTGGCTTAGTATTGTTACATCGATGAGTATATAAATTTTTTTTCATGGGAAAGGGATCCCAGTGTTCTAGATGCAAAGGAAATAGATAACGGTAAGGCCCAACCATTTCCCTGGAAGCTGGACACTGCATGGTGAACATAAGTTTAAGGAGACCTGCTGAGAAGTCAACATGTGAGAATTAGTGGCAGCTCCTGTTCCTTTCCCCACACCCCCTAAGCAATCCAGCACAAGCCCTTATGTGTTCCTTGAAGGATCTCTTTTTTTTCTTCTCCTTAGAAAGGCTGAAGTAAGTTTTAACTAAGTTAGATAACTTAGACAAAATTAGAAAAGATTTAAAAATGAGAGAACAACGCCAAGAACCAGCTGAGAGAGTGGAGAAACGAGCTGATCTGGACCAACTTGCTCTTGCAGTTCAGTTTCTCCAACATCCAGCTGGGACAACAGGGTCAGAGGACAAGTGTGTATGGATCATAGCATTGGAGTGTCACCATCAAACCAAAACTAAACCAAACCCCTTGCCCTCGAGTCAATTCCGACTCATAGTGACCCTATAGGACAGAGTAGATCTGCTCCATAGGGTTTCCAAGGAGCGGCTGGTGGATTCGAACTGCTGACCTTTTGGTTAGCAGCCGTAGCTCTTAACTACTCACTATCAAGTGTCACAGAAATGATCCTTCCAGAAGTGTGCAAGTCCTGAGCCTCAAAGATGCACCTCCTTGGAAATTATGTAGGTGACTAACGTACGTGCTTATTCTCAGCAATTCAAAAAAACATGTCTAAGTCACATTTCTTGCTTTTGTTGATCTGGAAAGCATTTAAGGAAGTCGTTACGCGTATCTAGTTCACTCCTGGCATAACTTTCCAACTAAACTCTAGGGTTCTACTGACACCTGCTGGCATTTCATCTATTTTCTGTTTAAAAAAAGGCAAAACAAAACAGGAAAGCACCTAACATTTTTCCTACAGTCTTTCCATCTTATTATACTAAAAGTGCTACCCGTGAAAGATAACAGAAAGAAAAGTCTGATGGGACTTTTACATGTCATGGAGGGAGAGGTGTGGCGCAGCAGTTGGGAGAAAATATCACAGACCTGAAGGACAGACAGTAGAGTTCTTTCTGCTTCTCTGCTCCTTGCCATGTGCTCTGTGACCTTGGGCAAGACCTTTGACCTCACTTACATCATTATGAGGAGAAACAAGTAGCACCCTCCCTCCCAGACCCCTTTGGGGCTTGTAAGGATTCCAGCGGCGTTTCCTACTAACTAAAGCATGGCCACTGTCACTGAAGTGATTACCTCAAAGGCCACTCTCAGTGACCTTTCTGTCCCAATAAACAAGGTTCTTCACCAGCGCTGTATGTTCAAAAGATGGATGAAAATCACTTAAGCCTACTCAAAGCCCAGCATCTCTAATTTATTTGTAGAAACAACTAAATTAGAACGATCAGAAGCCGGTGAACAATTTCCAGACTTGTCCACTTTGGCCCTAGGACACCATGGACTTTGCTTTGTGTTTTGGAACACGTCACGACCCTTCAGATTGAGAAAATGCTTCCCAGTTAATGTCAACCAAATTATTTGTGTTTTTTCTGTCTGCTCTTGAGAAACTCTGTGTGGGTTTGTGGCTTGTGAGGCCAATAACAGGATATGTGATAGTCCTCCGGGAGTTAGAGTCCATATTTAGCCTGGCAGAGGAATTGAGGTCTGACGCTGAAAAATAATAGAGGCATTTCTTTTAATGCTACTCCATCATTTCTTCCTCCTCCCTTGGAATCCTCACTTAGCCACCATGCTTCCTGAGGTTTCCAATGCTTTTGACAGTCCTCAGAAAGTATCCTTCTCTAGTGAAAGGAAATTTACCTTATAGCCCAAGTCTCTCCCTCAGAAAGCTGCTAGGTTGGCTTTTCCACAAAGAGGAACGTGAAAACACTGTTAGAATTCAATCATCATCCTGGCCCTTGTAAGGACTAAATCTCTTGACCGTGTTAAACCCAGTAATACTGTGTGGTGCTGTTCAATAGGACATTCTGCCATGATTGAAATATTCTTCATCTGTACTGTCCAGTTTGGTAGCTACTAGCTACATGTGGCTATAAGCACTTGAAGTGTGGCTAGTATAATGAAGGCACTGAATTTTTTTTTTTTAAGGTAACTTGAATTTAACTTTGAACATCCACATGTGGCTATAGCTACTGTATTGGAGGTGCAGATAGAGTTTACACCTATGTTACTATTTGTCCCAAAATATTTCCCCTTCCTCAGCACAGAGCCATCAGAGTCAGGCCGTAAAGCTAAGAAGGTAAAGTAGTGGCTTATTTGTGGGCCGGAGTTCTGTTTAACCCACGGTATCAATTTGCTGCAAAGCATTTTGCCAAGGATGTGATCAGTTTAGCAACTTGGATGGCATTCATTGGCATCTGTTTTTTGACTCAAGGGCAGGGTTGGCCTTAACTTCACGAACTAGCCTTTTCTAGTAAAATGCTGTTTAGAGACCAAAATTCCTTTATGCCATGCATGGTCTTTCTTCTCTTTTCCTTGTAAATCCGTGGTATGATAGTATGAACTACAACAGAGGTCCAAGTCCTTATACAGAAATTATGTGAGCACGTTGCTGTTTGCTCAGGGTACCCTGGCAGTCAAGGAATGTGTGATTTTTAAGGTTTTACTGAAAAACACAAGCAGGTGAGTTATGTAACAATCTCTTAGGTTGAAACAGAGTCGCGCAATAAAATCGATGAACCCTGATACATTCATTCTCTAGAATAGGAATGGCCAAATATGTCATCACTTATTGTATAATGTTGCTTAGAAATAACGAAGATTGCCAGCAACTGAAAAAAAGGCTACACTTTAAACAGGCTGCAAACAGAAAGCTTAACAAATCAATCAGTAAGCAGCATTCCTTTGTGGCAGCCCAGTGTTGAATGACACTATAGATGCCACATTTATCTTCATGGAAAAAATGAAAGCTGTTTAGTGAAGAATAAAATATGAGCATGCAAAATGTAGATCGCTGTATGGCAAGATGGCATAAAGGAAGTTTTTATATTTTTATTACCCAAAATGGATAAAGACTGCCTGATCAAAGCCACCGTATTTGACTCCTACACATTTGCTTACCAAGAATACTTTTCCTTTCTCTTTCAGCAATGGATAGAAGGCCTGCGATCAATCATACACAACTTCAGGGCCAACAACGTCAGTCCAATGACATGCCTCAAGAAACAGTGAGTTTTGTTTGTGTTGCCCGTTATTCCTGGCTGTTATCAAGCAAATGGTCAGTTAGGAGATGAATGAAGTCTAAGTGTGTGATGGGGGAAAATTCCTGCTGACCTTCCCTTCATGCTCCTGACCTTCCCTTCATGCTCCTGACCTTGGAGAAAGAGTTGACCATCACACACCTGTGTTCTTCATGGCAGCTCGGCAGGGCATGCCTGATGAACCCACCGCCCAAAACCTATATGCAAGGACCGGTTGATGGCAAAAGATGCTAGAAACGTACTCACCTAAGTCCTCTGGGACTTGGGAATCCCCAGACTGGGTCTTCTGATAAATACCTCTACCTGCCTAGGGCCATAGCTGGGTGCTGCTGGAGCTCAAGCCTTCATTGTATGAAACTGAGAAATAGCCAGTGGGCCCAAGAGAAGCACTTGCAAAGGCTCTCATTACTAGGGTAAAACAGGAGGCACTGACCCCAGGTATAGTGCTCCTTGCTTAGCCCATGATCAGGGATCCAAAGGTACTTTAGAAATTGAAAAAGCAGCCCTTACCCCAGCTCACAGTATCCAAAATCCAAAGGGGTCCTACAGTGGTAGATTTTAACCCTACCCAAGTTAGTTATACCTTCAAGATGACATGAAAGCTATCCAGGTAGATCCTAGCCAAAGCTGAACATCAGTCAGCATGTTTGAAAAGTAGTCATCAGGAGAGATGTGGGGCCACCTGCCAGCACAGGGCTAGGGCAGGTAGTGATGAGGTACCGAAGGTCACCACATTGGGAAATTACACGGATAAGCCTGAATCACTCAAAACCAGACCCGGCACCAAGGGTGAGATTCACTGTACTCTCCAGGCAATGAACTCCTTCAGGCTCCTTCATTCCTTTCTTCTGGTCACTTTGGCAGGTGCTTAAGGACATGGGCTCTGGGCTATAAATCCTAGCTTCACCACTTAGTTGCTGGGTGACCCTCAGCAATGTTCTTAGCCTTGTGCCTCAGTGTGCTCTTCTGGGAACTGAGATGATGCCGGCTAACCATCTTACAAAACTACCATGCAGATCATATGAGATCATGTAAAGCACCTAGCTCAGCCCAGCGCCCAGTCATTCTTCATTCAGTATTATCTATTTTGATTTTTATGGTAGCCTTCCAATTTCCTTTTCATCCCCTTAGTAGCAGGAAGTTAATAGTGCTATATATTCCTATTCATTGTGTAGCCTGGCCTTTTCTGCTGCAGCTACTGTGACATATTTTCATAGATAGATAGATTAGATAGATAGAAACCTAGTAGATATTTTGATGTTATGACTCCAGGCACTGATAAACTCCCAAAGGATCAAAGACTTTCAGAATGTCGTGTCATACCTGGGTGACCCAACTATTGGTATCTGGGCAGCAGATCTTATCTGAACTTTTTGGTGTTCTGCCCCCAGTTGCTGTCAAGTCAACTCCCCCTCAAGATGACCCCAGTGTGTGTCAGAGTGGAACCGTGCTCCATAGGGGTTTTGATGGCTGATTTTTCAGAAGTAGATTGGCAGACCTTTCTTCCGAAGCTCCTCTGGGTGGACTCAAACCTCCAGCCTTTTGGTTGTCAGCCAAGTGTGCTAACCATTTCTACCACCCAGGGATTCCTTATGGAGCTGATGTTCAAAACCCTCCCCCGCCTCCGCCCCGCACCGCTGCTGTGAGGGTCTGTCCACCAAGGACTAAAAGCTGCCACTTCTCCAGAGAATTGCCCTCTGCTAAAGGGGAGCCACTGTGTGTACCCGATTATACTCCTCCCTACTCCTGGAGGGAAGCCCACAGTCAATGACCGGCTGAAACAGGGTAAAAGAGGCCCCACTTGCCTCAAGGCAAGACCGACTCTGGTGCAAATCACACTCCAGAGACCCTGGGATCAGGCTAAAGCTCCAGCTGAGACCACAGTTTTGCTTATCTGTTTTCCCTGCCCTATCTGCTTCCCTCACTCTTTGTCCTGAAAACATTCTCTTAATAAGTAGCCACTTGTGCTTCTAGGAAATAGGTTTCGTAAGATAGAAACTACAGAATAATCATTTTCTGCAGATTGTTATAATATTATTTCCTGGAAATAATGAAAAAGGGCATCATTAGCTAAGAACAGTCCTAGCCCCAAAGTACAGGTCAAAGTTCTGGGACCTCACGTGTCCTGAGAGCAAGGAGTTGCTGACCAGCAGTTGGAGTTACGAGCTTCTCTTACGCTGGAAATTAAGGAAGGTGCCTGTTCCGTCAGTGTTTTGCAGCAGTGGGAGCTGGGAGTCCTCATGAGTCCTCAAGACAAGGCTGGTTGGCGTCACTGTGCATCTGTGCTCCTTACTACCTTAATATATTAGTGTATAGCAATAACCAAAGACAAGACCAGCCACCAAATAAGAACCGATAATGTGTTTTCCTCAATTTTCTAATTCATTTTAGGGTTTCCAGATAAAACACAGGACTCCCAGTTCACAGTGAATTGCAGATAAACAACAAGTACTTTTTAAGGATAAGTATGTGTTGGAGTCCTTGGGTGGTACAAACAGTTAATGCACTTGGCTGCTAACCAAAAGGTTAGAAGCTCAAGTCTACCCTGAGGCACCTCAGAAGAAAGGCCTGACGAATCTACTTCTGAGAACTCAGCCACTGAAAACCTTATGGAGTGCAGTTCTACTCCGACACACATGGGGTCGCCATGAGTCAGAATCAACTCAACAGCAATTGGTTTGGTGTTGATTATTATTATTATTATTGGTTTATGCAGTATTTGGAGTCCTTGGGTGGTACAAACTGTTAATGCACTCGGCTGCTAACTGAAAGGTTAGAGATTTGAGTCCACCCAGAGGCACCTCGGAAGAAGGGCTGCACAATCTATTTTTTGAAAAATTGAAAACCCTATGGGACATAGTTGTATTCTGACACACATAGCGTCACCATGAGTTGGAATCAACTTGGCAGCAACTGAGGTGGGATGAAGCATTTGGGAGATAATTATACTGAAAAATTATTTGTTGATTATGTGAAGTTTTCATTTAACTTGGAGTCGTATATTTTATTTGCCAAATCTGGCAACTCTATGTGTATCTTATAGTATATAATTGTCTCTGATTTTCAGAATAAATGTTCTTTGTTTGAATGAACTATGGTCTTTTATAGTTCTTAGCCAGATCGAAGCAGTTCCTCCTAAGAAACATTAAAACAATGTTGTTGTTGTTTCAGCTGGATGAAATTGGCATTCATGACCAACACAAATGGCAAAATTCCAGTTAGGAGGTAAGTCAGTCATTCCTGGTGTCATTTATAACCTGTCAGCCCTCATGGTACTAGACATAGAGAGAGCTGTCTACAAGTACTTGTTAGTTAATGGTTGAACTAAAGATGTTTCTGGAAGCTTGGTTTGAATTGCTTTGTCAAATGCTGTGTTGAATTTATTGAAATCTTTTATGGAAGAAAGTTGCATTTTTTTTTTTTTTGGTCAGAATAGGTAGCATTAACTACAAATTAAATAAATTAAAGAACGTGCAAACGTAGTGTATATTTTTTTTAATCCTCAAATATATGGGCTTTTTAGAATTTAATTTTTTTTTTTTTGTCCTACTTATGCTGAGCAACCATTAGCTAAAATTAAAGATGTTTGTGGTATGCAGAGGGAGTACCTGGGTGGCACAAACGATTAAGTGCTCAACTACTA